CCGGGCCATATTTTCATAAGCGCTGTACTTATCGCATTTGGGTGCCAGGCTACAATCTACTTCGTACCCTCCTAATCCAGGAATCCCACGACAACCCTACCTCATGATATTTCGGCGTCGACAAAAACCACGAAGATGGCCGACGACGTGCGCAAGTACGTTGTCCTCCTACACTGCCTGCCAGATTATAAAATCGTCGTCAGCATACAGCGCGCAGCCGGACTACTACAGCCGTTGGATCCGCCCGAGCGACCCTGGCAACAAGTCACGATGGACTACGTGACAGACTCACCGGCGGTCCCAGCGGAAACGATGCCATCCTCGTGGTCGTTGACCGACTCACGAAAATGGCGCACTTCATCACCTGCCAACAGACAATCACCGCCGAACAAACCGCGCAACTGTTCCCCACGAACGTCATCCGACTGCACGGACTACCCTCCGCCATCATTTCAGATCGAGACCCGAAATTCACATCGAATTTTTTGGCCCACCTATGGGACCAATTCGGCACCAAACTCCAATTTTCATCCGCCTACCACCCACAGACCGACGGGCAGACCGAACGCGTCAACCAGACCATGGAGCAACTGATTCGTACTACCTGTACTGACCCATCGACATGGAGAAATCCCTTCCGCTGTTCGAATTCGCGTATAATAACGCGACCTCAGCCACAACCAACCAATTCTCCATTCTTCCTCAACTACGGACAGGACCCAGTCGTACCCTCTACACCGACAATCGAGTCACCCGTGCCCTGGTCCCAGAAATTTGCTGAAGACATTCTTGTTAAAATTATATATTGTGTTATATAATTGTTAGGCTTGGTAGGTTACTGAACTTTACTGTAGAGGGTACAACACCCCTCCTTGTATCCCTCTCTCGTCTATTCCCAACCCCTTTTTCTCTCCTCAACTTTTCTAGCACCTAAAACCTCACGCCATTCTCATGGCTCCTCCTAGCTCCCAGCTAAACCTTGTGCCATTCTATGGCTTCCTAGCTAAGCTAGTCTTGTGACAATTCTCGCCGCTTGAGAAAAAGCAGCTGAAGCCATCCGAAAAAGCCAACCTGGTTGCAAGCCGACAAGCCGATCGTCATCGCCGTGACGTCACTTACAAAGTGGGAGATCTAGTCCTCCTCGACACCCGCAATCCGGCTGCCGATCCCGAGCAAACTTCGACCCAGATTCTGCGGACCTTTTCAAGTGACCAACCTCGTGACACCTGTCACTGTTCACCTTTGACTACTGGCTGATTGGCGCCACCATCCGGCTTTCCACGTCAGTCTTCTCCGACCCTACGTCACGAGTCCGTTGGACTTGGCACCAGGCCTCAGGATATCAGGGTAAAATACCCTTACGGCCCTTACTATAAGGCTGGGGTTGGTGTTGGACCCTTATATTTAAAAGTGGTTTAGTTTTGGACCCTTATGAAAAAAAACTAAATTTGTACCGGACCCTGATTTTGAAAAGTGGTGCAGCGTTAGCACCCTGATGCGGAAAAGTGTTGTGTAAAATCACCCTTACACAATCACACATGCGATCCCCCGCTGTAATCATTGATCCCCTTGGCAACCTGTAGATTTCGGCTAAGTCCCCCCCCAATCCGAGAGTTATTCCTCCTATACCCCCCGCAACCCAAGATTTCGGCTGTCCCCCACTGCCAAAGGCATTCCTCCCACACCCTCGAGCGACCCCGAAAAATTGGTGAAGTCCCCCACTGGCAGAGACAAAGCTACTGCAACCCAGAGGATTCGGCTAAGTCCCCCACTAAGAGAGACAGTCCTGAAACGAAAAGAAAGCCCTGAAACTACCTTGAAATTACAGGGTAGCCTGAAACGAAAAGAAAGCCCTGGACGTGATATGTCAAACCATCTTTTCCCCCCTACCCATTTCGGCGAGGAATGTCGCGCCTACGAAATATCGGCGACTTGAATTTACAGGTTTTACCTGGCCCTGCCGCGCACGACGGGGATCACGTCGTCAATTTCTTCTGCTAATGGTTTACGCTTTTTATGGCTGCCACTCACCCAGGAATTCATGCGCACAGTTACAAAACCTGTCATCTTGAATATATAATTCGTGTTGGTAGAGTCGTATCCGCCACTACATTCGTTAAAAGAAATTAAAGAAAGAAGAAAAGAAAAAACCGAGTGGGGCACTAACGGGAAATCAGGTCGAGACCAGGAAGGGTCTTGGGAATGAGGTCGTATTTCTACAAGATAGTAATCAGTACCAGCAAACCCGAAATGGACTCTGAAACGCGAAACAGTGAGGTCCGAGGGTCAAAACGCGAATTCCTGTTCGGTTTGATTTGGTACTTCGCGAAGTTTGCTTCCCTGGTACTGAACGCTCTAATGTAGAAATACGCACTAACAGCAAAATTACCGAGGTGCGACATTCCCTCCACTTCAGCACTAACAACCAAAAATCTTGGTGCACCCTGTCGAGTGCCACCCAAGGCACGTCGTCACATCATACAGTATCTACAACACGTCAGTCGTCTGATCATGCGAGATCCTGTAACTACAGTAAAGCGTAAGGCTGCGCTGGAGTTATACCCTTATGTGAAAAAAGTACAAATATTTAGGACCCTTATATTACAAAGTAGCTAAAAAAAATACCCTTACAGAAAAAGTGGCAGCAAGCGAGTACCCTTACAAGAAAAAGTACTTCGAATCCTATCCAGAGGCCTGCTTGGCACGCAACCGCGGTGTACCGCAACTAACGCCTTTGCAGGAACCGACGACCGAGCCCTTGAAAATCCTCGGCCATCACGTCACAACGCAGCTGAACTGTCGGATGGTTGATTTCCTCGTCCGCTGGCGCGATCGCATATCTGAAGACGACAGCTGGGTGTCTCTCGCTGACCTAGAATCACATCCGATTCTAACGGCGTATTATCAGCGTCGTAACGTCTCCGATGCCCATGGACTCGTTTAGGAGGGGGGGGGGGGGGGGGTAGTGTAAGGAATTTCCATTCCTTACTGAGTCGCCCGCTACTGCGTACACCCGAACACTTCGACTCGTCACGTTCGGCCTACATTTTCGACCCAAACGTTTCTCGAGTCGCGTCCGACAGCGTCGCCACATTGCCGAACCTATCCACGTCCCGAGGTTATCGCCCTATTACGTCTACTCCTATATAACCTCGTGCTTTCATTGCAATAGCGACTTGAATTCTCGCGTTATAGTTCATTGACATCTTCTAAATTCATAACAGGACACGCCCAGCTCACACCCAAAATTAGCGTGCCAGCACTGTTCTTTGAACAGCACCTCTCATTTCGGACCTGTTCCCAAATCCGGATTTTGAAACAGATCCTGATTTCCAGGTACCTCCGCACGACAAAAAAGAGGACACAAAAATCCAGTTGCCAACCAGTACCAGCACCACCTCTAGCAAAATTCTCTAGCGACACTTTGCAGCCCCGCACGTCGCTAGCGAAGAACCTATCCCCGCTGCGCCGATTGGCCCTCATTTTGTTACATGCGCTTCGCGCAGATTTCGCATGGCGGGACCCCGTTACCCGCTCCTATGTCTGTGCTGGTCTCGGTGCTGTCCTTTTGAACTGCACCCCTCATTTCGGACCTGTTCCCAAATCAGGATCTGTTTCAAAATCGATTCACATTGCGTACCGTCAGTGTTAAAAACGGGTAACAATTTTTGGGACACGCCCTCAGTCAGCTCCGAGCAGACAGTCGCATAATTCGCCGCAATTTCAGTGACCTCGTTTGGCAGACGGCGAGACAGTATTTAGACTCTAGATTGATCACCATCCTCTTTCCCGTTAGCTATTTCTCACACATGGGCGGGCTGTTCGGAGACTTACCCCCGCCTTCCGATGCGGATAAGGACGCATCGGACGCACAGCCTTCCGCGGCTTCCGCTTCCTTCATCTTCCGCAGGTCGTCCGAAGCTATGGTCCGCCAAAATGACTCCCCTACGTTGCGCAAGCCCTCCGCCGCGACCCTCTTCGCTCCGCCAACATCCGTCCTCCGCAGTCAATCCCTCTCCGGTTCCAGCGCTGCTTCCCTTGCTGCGAAATCCGCGCGTTTGCCAGCTCCGCCTCCTCCGCCAGTGAGCGGCGCAGCTCCGCCCGGCGCAGCAGGCTCCGGGACGGATACCTCCGCAATGGTTGCGGCGGCTGCCGCAGCAGCAGCGGCAGCGGCAGCAGCATCGGGACTGGGTTCTGGCGCGGGGATGGCGGAAGCGCAGCCAATCCCCATAGCAGCTGCGACCGCAGCTCCCGGCGAAGCAACTCCCCCTTTCCTTCCGCCTACTCCGCACAAGCTCCTCCCCTCACGCCCCCACTTACCCGCCTGATCCACGCTTCGCCGCTCATCCAGGATATCAGGCTCCTCCGCCGCCCTACGAAAGCGCAGCCGCAGCCTTTCCTCCCCCTGTCCCCCCTATGGCTCCGCACCCCCCTTTCCCCCGTATCCCGCCCCCGCCCCAGCCCTTGCGCCCCCGCCTGCACCTGCGCCTGTTCCCCCTGCCATGCCTCCAGGTGGCGGAGCGGCACTGGTTGCAGCAGCTGCTGCAGTAGTGGACGAATATGACCCGGCTAGGCCTAACGACTATGAGAAAATTCTAAAGGGAGAGGAAGAGGAAGGCCGTAGAGGAGGAGCGGAGGCGCGAGATGGAGAGGAGGAGGAGGGAGGAGGAGGAGAGGAGAAGGAGCGGGAGGCGGTGCTGCAGAGACAGCGGGACCTTGAGCTAGCAATCAAGGCTGAACGTGAGGTGAGTGCCCCTTTGGAATTCAGTAGGCGTCTCTTCAGTCAAGGCTGAACTTGAGATGGGTGGGTCCCTTTGGAGCTTTAGAGCATATGAGTCCAGGTGGGTTCAAGTCAAGCTGAGAGGGAGCGTACAGATAAGTCAAGTCAAACAGATAAACAAACGAAGCAGACCCTTGCAACCAACAAACCAAGAAACCCTCAGCCACCCACACAGGACGTTTTGAGGTAGAAACCCTCTTCGTTTCCTCTTCATCTCCTCATCTCTTCCTGTCCCGAACATCAGTGCCTGCAGCGTGCGGCAGCAGCCAAGGCGTCAGGGCAGGAGGGAGCCGTATCAGCATCAACCGCTGGCCCTGCTGGCTCTGAGAGCTCTTAGCTGCGCGTCAGTGGGGAAAAGGCTTGGTGCCGCACAGCCCAATCATCGTCCTCTCCTTTCCAAATATAAAGCTTGGTCAATTTTCTGTAGATCATTAAAAGATTGGCTTTCCCCCCAAACCCCACATTCCCCACTAACTTCCACCCCTGCAGCGTGCGGCTGCAGCCAAGGCGTCAGAGCAGGAGGGAGCCGCATCAGCGTCTGCCGCAGCATCTGCTGCCTCTGAGCGCTCTCAGCTGCGCGTCAGTGGGGAGGAGGCCTGGCGCCGCAGAGCCCTGCTCAGTGGCGGAGGGGGGAGAGGAGGGGTGGCGGATTAGGAGCAGCAGCGGAGCGTCGGCAAGCCCACGAGCGGCGGAGAGATCGCCATCTCCTCCCAAGTGAGACGTCTGGAACTTTGTTACGAGTTAGGTTAGGCGTGGCTTTATATCCTTTGCATGGCTGATTGCTGTGCGTCAACCAGTTGGTTGCTTCATTTGCTCAGGCTCTAGCATGAGATTCCATGGTATTAGTCTTCAGCTCTAGCCTCTCTTGATTTCACTCAAACTCGGTTCTTCTGTTGCACTGGGCAGGTCCGAGGGGTTTGCCATGCCAAGACATCAGGCGACGGGTTGACAGCAGCTGAGCGGATGATGATGAAGATGGGGTGGAAGGCAGGGCAGGGGCTGGGCAAGCAGGAGCAGGGCATCACCACGCCGCTCATGGCAAAGAAGACTGACAAACATGGAGGAGTGATTGTCGCTGCAAGCCCACTGAAGAAAGGTGGTGGAGGGGAGGGAGGGGAGAATAATGCAGCTGGTGCTGGCGGGAGAGGGCGAAGCTGGTGGTGTGCACTGAATGGCCTCCTTCTAAGGTGGTCCTACTACGGAACATGGTACGTTTGCTGCTCCTTTCTATTTTGACAAGGAATGCATGAGGGAAAAGTGGCGTCATTTTAGACACTCTGCTGATATGCGGCTCTTTATTTTGTCCTTTCAGGTTGGTCCAGGAGAGGTGGATGAGGAGTTGGAAGAGGAGGTGGCGGGGTGAGTGTCTCAAGTATGGGACTGTAACGCGTGTGCTTATATTTGAGATCACAGACCCTTCCTGTCGACCAGTGGAAGCCGTTCGCATCTTCATCACGTTTGATCGAACGGAGTCTGCTACGAAGGCACTTGTCGACCTTGACGGAAGATTCTTTGGCGGGGGAGAACAGTACGGGCGTGCTTCTTTGATGAAGAGAGATTTAAGAAAAATGATCTAGCGCCAGGTGCAAATGAGCCCCCTGTTCCTGACTTCAAGAAAGCCTAGTTTTGCGTGTTTTAGGTTTTACCTTCGTCTTTTATGTGCAATACAAATTATCGTTTATATGAGCTTTTTGTTGTGTGCTGTGCATATGTTCCTGTGGTGGATATGTTACTAATGTGTGTTGGGCTGAGAAAAGCCCTTAGGATCTTTTGCAGAGACTAAGTCCCAGCTGTTTGAGACTTGGAGTAGTGCAGCGGAAGTTGAGGCAGTTGAACCCTTGTACTAGTATGTGAGAACAAGTGATTGATTAAAGAAAACAAGCATACAGCAATATATAGAAGATAAGAAAGCAGTTGTAGAATACAGTTACAGGAACGGTTTATCGAGTCGCACAGCGACTCGATTTGCCGCTTCGGTTACCATCCGTGATGTTGTAACGGTCAGTCGCAACCTCCAGTTGCGACCTTTCGAGTCCTTTCGCATTCTTTGTCCCCCCCTCGTGTAACCTCCGTTGACTCGCGTGCTCCCCTGTAATCTTCCTCGAGTACAGTGTTACACTTCAGAAACGCTTAAGTCCTTGAGATATTTCCAACACTCCCCTTCGTTTCTGGAGTGCTGGAGTGTTCAGATCCGGTGACGTTTGTTTGCCCGGTTAGGAGCATGCAGTAGTCGAATTTTGCTTTCGCCAATTTCTTCGTCAGATAATCTGCGGCCATTTTCTGTCGTCGCGGCAGTAACTGAGTTGAAGTCTCCCCTTCGCGATTTCATCCTTGACGAAGAAGTACCGCAGGGCGATGTGCTTGGTTCGGTTGGCGAAGCCGTCCTTGTTCGCGATTTGATCGCAGATTGGTTGTCGCAGAGGAGTGAGAAGGCGGGCAGGGTCGCGATCTTCGCTTCTTCGAGTAACTCTCGTAGGTAGAGTCCTTCCTTGGTCGCAGTATAAGGGCGAGTATACTCTGCTTCAGCCGAGGATATAGTGCGATATACTCCTGCTTGCTCGACTGCCAGGAGATAGTTTCCGATAGGTTCTAGTCGGGTAGATGTAGCCCGTCCCTAGACCGTCGATTTTCGCTGTCTCCCGCCCCCGTGGTCGGCGTCGACGTATCCGAGTAGTTGTACGGACGTGTTGTTGCCTTGCTGTAGGTGAGCCCGATCGTCGGCGTGGAGACGAAATAGAGTAGCGCTCGATTGAGTTCTTCGAGATCTTCCTGTTGCGGCTGCTTCAGATGTGTCGCCAGCTGACTCGCACTATAGGATAGGTCGGGTCGGCAGGTTACTGCTGCGAATAGTAGGCAGCCGAGCTTCTGTTGATACTCCTGGATTTGTTTCGCGGGGAGTTTTGTGGAGGCGCTACTGTTGTTCCCGTAGCGGTAGGGAGTTGGGACCGCAGTCGGTGCTAGACCGAATTTCTTCGCGACGGTGCTTGAGTACTTTCCAGCGTGTAGGTAGAACGCCGTGTCGTCTTCGACGATGTTCAGTCCTAGGTACTGGGTAACTTCGTCGGACACCGTGAGCGTCAGGTCCCTTTTCAGCTCCCCTTCGAACCAGGTGACGATGTCGGTGGTAGAACCGATGTAGAGCAGGTCGTCGACGTAGACGATGAGCAGAATGTAATCTCTTCCCTTCTGCAGTCGGTACATGCCTTGGTCATGTGGTAACTGTAGGAATCCGATTTTTACGAGCCGGCCGTGAAGGTGCTGCTGCCAGAGCCGTGGGGCTTGCTTGATCCCGTAAAGGGATTTTTCCAGCTGGCATACTTTTGAAGGGTCGTCGATGAATCCGTGGGGTTGTTCGACGAAGATTTCGGCGTCCACAGGTGCGTACAAGAAGGCGTTTGCGACGTCGATTTGCCGTAGTGGTAGTTTCTTCGTGGCCGCGACGGCGAGTAGGATGCGCAGGGAGGTGTGACGGGAGACTGGGCGAAGGTTTCTGTGTAGTCGGTTCCGTATCGTTGATCGAAGCCTCGTACGACCCATCGAGCTTTGAATCGTTCGATGGAGCCGTCGCGTTGGTCTTAATGCGGTACACCCATTTCCCCGAGAGAATGTTCTTCCCGTTGTGTTCGTTGCGGTACAGTTTCCATGTTTCTCGGTCTTGGAGGCTTTTAACTCTTTTTCCATCGCTTCCTTCCATTTGCCTTATGTTCCCCCCCAGAGCCTGCGACAGGGTCGACGGCTCGCGCGGAGAAGGCGGCGGCGGGTGCTGGACGGAGACCCATAGTCCTAGGATCTGCAGTCCCGTGGCTGTGTGTCGAGGGGAATTTTCATTCCGGGATAAGCTGCTTCATCACCGTCTTCAGGATCGGGTAAGAAGTTTGGCCGATGCGTTCGGAAATATTCGAGTCGACGGGGTGTGGTGTAGCGTAGCCTTGGTCAGCGAAGTGGTAAAAGGTGTCGAGGTTGTTGCTATCGAGGGGATTATCTTCATCGAGTGGAACAGGTACGGAGCAGTAGGGGAGTGGTCCGGCAGCCTCCGAGGCTCCAGGGACGTCTTCTTCTGCTGCGTCAGCCTCGGCAGCATGGTCAGCGAAGGAGCGAAGGCCCGCGAAGCCGCGGTGGGGTGGGGTCGTCTGAGTTGGCAATGTTGTCCAGGTAATGCTGCAGCGTCAGTCGCTCGTAGAAGATAACATCACGTGATGCCACCGTATTTTTGTCGTGTATGTCGAGAATCTTCCACGCGTGAAAATGTTTGGCGATGCCGAGGTGTAGTCCCCACCGAGCTCGTTGAGTGAAGCGTCCTGCTCGAGCTGTGTGGGGTCTGTATTGTACCATGCAGCCGAAAACTCGAAGTAATTTTGTGCTGCCCCTTTTTCCCGTCCACAGCAGTGTGCGGTGATGCGTTGTTGGGGAGCGATGACGAGGACAACAGGTTGTGCAGGTGGACTGCATGTGTCATCGCGTCTGGCCACAGTGTGTTGGGCAGCCTCATCCCCAGAAGCAGTTTTCGCATCGTCGTCTGCAAGGTCCGGTTCATGCGTTCTGCTACCCCCTGCTGCTGGTGAGCATAGGGCAGAGACACCAGGCGTCGGATTCCCCTTTCCGCGAGATAGGTCCTGAAGCGTTGTGACTGGTATTCCAGTGCACCGTCTGACTGGAAACTCTTGAGTTTGGTTCCTGACTCTCGTTCGGCGATTGGAAGCCATGTGGTGAAGGCCTCGAAGGCTTGATCGCGCGTTTTGAGATTGAAGTGCCAGACGTATCTGGTTGCGGCGTCGATGAACGTGATGACGTAGTTGAAGTCGGCTTCGGTGTCGTCTCGAGGCATGTTTAGAATATCGCTGTAGACCTTTTCCATCGGAGCGTAAGTGGGTGCGCTTGGATTGTGATGGGCTGGGAAAGGTTGATGAGGAAGATCTGCTTCGGGGCATGTGAAGCACCGTGCGCGTGGTCGTCGAAGTTCTGGCCGCTCGTCGTCAGAAGGGCGTTGCGTTCTAACACCTCTGCTTGATTGTTTAGTATCGTGCTGTTTGCAGGATGTCCGAGACGTTGGTGCCAGATGTCGTCGGGAGCGCGGTGACCGGGCGAGCGGTGGTAGATGTCGGCGTTGGAGAAGAACGCGACGACCGAGGCGGGACTTCGACAAGCTTCTCGTGTGGCGGGCATAAGTTGGTCTGCTTCCGTTGGCGGTCCTCGTGTTGATGGTGGTGGTACTCGGCTGGGTCCTGCTGCCGATACTGCAGGTGATGGTTTTGTTGGGACGCTTGCTGGTACTTGTCTTTCTTGTCTGATAACTGCTAATGCTCGTGTTCTCTCTGCTGCAGGTATGGTGTTGGAGTGCCAGAAGCCGTCACTGTCGAAGTCGGGATCAAGATCTGGCGGTGAGTCCAGGCGGCGAACGATACGATGCCATCGCTGTCGGCAGTTCCGCGGTCGGGGACGAAGTCCAACACGAAGACACCGGACTTCAGGAGGGCACGACCGATGAAGAGACCGCCCTTCCCGTGGTAAAGTCGGAACTCGTTGGAGAAGGAGTCGCACTCCAGGTGAATCCCCTTAGCCATTAGTTGGCTTACGCTTAGTAGGTTGTATCCCAGATTGTCGACGATGAGGACTTTGTTGAGCTGAAGAATAACGTTTGTCTCCATTGATTGTAACTGAACCACGCCTTGTCTGTTTGTTTTCAGGTTTTCGTTGTTGGCGACGGTGATGACGACGTCGGGTTGAGGCGTCGCTCGTGTTGTACGAAGCGTCCGGAGGAGCACATGTGCTGACCGCAGCAACTGTCCAAGAACCAGGTGTTCGCCCGGTGGGTTCGGCGTTAGCGACTGCAGCGTATGTCGGGTTGACCTGAAGTCCTTGCGAGCGCGGCGGCGGGAATTCCTCTTCGTCTGGTGCGTAAGTGGGTGGTGAAGGGGTGCGCAGTTGTCGATGTGTACCATGCAGTTGATGATGTTGGGTGTTTGTTGTGCAGATGTTGAAGAGCGCCTTGGAGGACTTGCTTGAGTGGAAGCGACTTGTGGGTCTGCTGCACGGTAAACGCGAGGGCGGTTGCAGTTGACCTTGGAGTGCCCGGAAGTCTGACAGTTGTGGCAGAACGGCGGCACGATGGTGAGTCCTCGGTTGTCGCGTTGATCTTGCTTGCTGCGTCGGTTGTAGTTGTTGTCATTTCTTCTTTGAGTGTAGAAGACTAACTGCTGTTGCTTCCTTGGTTGTCTTTCCTCGAACAGATCCATCTCCTGTTGTTCAGCGTGAAGCTCGGCGCAGAGGTGCATCTCCGAAATTCTTCCGTGGGCTCGAAGAAGTGATCGTGTGGTTCTCCATTCTGGCCCGAGCCCGGCGAGGACAAGTGTCACGAAGCTTTCTTCAGTGATCGTTCCTCCGCACCGAAGCAGGCGGTCGCGGAGGGTCTGGCAGCGACTCATATACTGCATCGCCTTTTCCCCGGTCTTCATCTGTATTGTTGTCAGCTGTTGCATGAGTCTGCTTTGTGTCACGCTGTCGTTTGCTTGGTAAAGGCACTTGAGGTGTGCCATGCGAGCTCCGCGGAGTTTCCATAACTCCGATACGTTCTGATGCTCTGCTGCTCTTGTGGTGACAGGTTTCTCAGGAGACGTATACGCCAGCAGCGACTGATACGTGAAGATCTCTTGTTTTCCAGTGCCGTTGCTTGGGAATGGCAGGGACCCGTTGAAGTATCCCAGAAGATGCGCGGCCTCCATCAGCAGCTCGAACTCGAAGCTCCAGGTAAAGAAGTCGTGTCCGTTGAACGGTGAGGATGTTGAATTGATCACGTGTGAGAACTGCGCCTGAAGACTTAAGATTCGTTTGGTGTTTGTTGTGATGCAGCTGCTGTTGGTTGG